CCGGACATGTCCGGGAAAAAGAGGACGTATGGTAACCCTAGAGTTCCTGTTTCCCCCAAATATCCCCCCAAGCTCCTTCACCTCCTTTACTGGGGAGGCTGGAGAATAATAGACCAACCAAACAGGTAAACAAGGTGAGCACAGACCAGACCCTTGGGTTTTAGGACACTAAACAACAATCAGGTTCTTAAAAGAAGAATTTTATTATAAAGAAAAAAGTAAAGAAATACCTCTGTAAAATCAGGATGGAAGGTAATTTTACAGGGTAATAAGATTGAAAACAAAGAGGATTCCCCTCCAGGCAAAACTGCAAAGTTACAAAAAACAGGAATAAACCTCCCTCTTAGCATGGGGAAAATTCACAAGCTACAACAAAAGATAATCTAACACATTTCCTTGATTTACTTACAATTTTTGCAACCTTTGATGCTTATTTCAGATAGGGTTTTAGGAGAGGTTTTTTTCCTGCCCTGGTCCCTTTCTATCTCAAGGGAGCACACACAAAGAGCACAAACAAAATCTTCCCCTGCCCCAGATTGGAAAGTATCTTACTTCCCCACTGGTCCTTGTGGTCAGGTGCCAACCAGGTTATTTGAGCTTCTTAACCCCTTAGAGGTAAAGGAGGGATTTTATGCTCCCCTTAGCTGTATGTTTATGACAAGGGCCCTATTGTGCCAGATGCTGCTCAGACACAGTGAGAGACAGGCCCTGCCCCAGCTGGAATTGGGGCCGTGTTATGCCCGGCCCTGCCCAGAAACCAGCTGCAATCAGGGCCTTCCAGGGGAAAGGGAGAAGTGAAAACTGATTCTTTACTGGACACAAATAAGTCATAATTGTTATTGGCTCTTCGTTGAAAAAATAGCAGTGACAAAAAATGATACATGAAAATCTATTTCAAGTAACAGTTTGTAAACAGGGAATTTTACAGTCAGATGTTTTTGACTTTGCAGTGAACAAGTTACCCTTAATAGAACATTGTTATTAAGAAGTTATAATCACGTGGCACTGATTGACCTAGACAGAGACCAGGTCCCTGTTGTGCCAGGCGCTGCCCAGACACAGTGAGAGACCTTCCCTGCCCCTAAGAGTTTATACTGTAAGTATCCCAGGGCACCATTATTATCCTGATTTTTGGGGTAAGGAAACTGAGACTAGACAGATGTAGCAACTGGGCTAACCTCACCGACAGCATTTTTAGCGAAGCAGAGATTAGAACCCAGAGTACCCAGCCAGCAGCTTAGACACAAGCCCATCCCTCCACTGCTGCCAACTGCTACCCCTGAGCTTGAAAGTCCTGTCCATCTGTGAAACGAGGGGGTGAGGGCTCAGGCAGGGTAGAAGAGAGACTCTCTCTGGCTGAGGGGTGAGAGGTTCTTTCCCCCGGGGGCAGTGGGGTTTGGGAGGGGGCAGGCTTTGAGACCCGGCTGCAGAGGACTCTGGGATACCTCCCCTCAATGCAGTGCTCCAGCATCTCCAAGGCCTAGTTGACTCCGCCCTGAGTCCAGGCCAGAGCAGGGGTTTGTACCCAGGTTTCCCACATCGTGAGTCCAGCCCTGGGCCGACCCCTTCCCCCTTCCCTCCACACTGTGACCCCCCCTGCACTGGATAGGCCGGAGATGCCCAGCCTGGGCCCATGGCGCGAGGGGGCTATTTCCGCCGGACCTCAGCATATACCATGGCTGGTGCCTCCAGAGGCTCCCCCCGTTTGCGCTGCGGCTTGGAGAATTCGATGGAGGCGTAGTGCAGCTCGTCCGGGGCCTGTGCTGTGGCAGCCCTGTCCTGGATGCCTTTGGTCCGGCGGGCGGCTGGAGTCTTGTGATCCTGAGCGAGAAGCAAGGCAGAGACACCAGGCAGAGACTTGCATCCACCCTGTTGAGCTGATCGCATGGGCTGCCCCAGGCCTCGTTTCTCCCACCCTCCGTGCAAATGAATTTCCTGCATCGGGCGTGCACTAGCAAGAGGCGTGGGATTGGGTTTGTTTCACACTCTGCACGCATGAGCGAATCACATGCCAGCACCAGCCCAGTTAACGCATTCACTGCCTCACCTGCACAGGCCATGCATTCCCAAGATGAATGTGGGTGTGTGCATTTTATACACTATGAATGAAGTATTTCATCCCATGCATCTCATTGCAGAACAGGTTCAGGAAATGTATTTTCTGCATTTCAGGCACCGAGCACTTGGGGCAGCACTGGTTAAGTTAATGCATTCTCTGCATTGCCTGCACTCGCCATGCATTAGCAATATGGAAGGGGTTGTGTACATTTTATGCACTGTGCATGCACGATTTGATCCCATGCATGTCGTGTTTCTATAGAGGATGCTGATGCGTTCATTGCATTTTCTGGAGGGTGCATATATTTGCAACAGACAAAGTGCACCCTGCTGCATGCATTGTCTGATTACGTGTACGTCATACGATAGCAGGCAGCTGCAGAAATGCATTTCTTGCCCAGCTCGTGCATTCGGGTGATGCCCAGGGATTGGCAGCATTCCAGCCCCAATCTATTCTGTGCACTTTGTGAATGCACATGAATGCATTCGCTGCATGTCCTCCCCTCTGAGCGAGACCCAAGGGATGAGGTGCATTTTCTGCATGCAGGAGCCGATCCCACGCAGTTTGGGGAGCCCAGGCTGGTGGCAGGGATGTATTTCTTGCACCAGGCATGCGATGGGGGTCGGGTGCCCTAGTGGAAGCCTGACTTATATTTGTGGATTTGTTAAGGGGGTGGGAAGAACAAGAAGTGGCGGGGGCAGAGAAGGGTGGGGTGGGAAGTCCACGTGGGCTTGGTCCCCCGCTCCCGCCAGGCACATACCATGGGGATGCTGGTGACGTTACTGTAGATCACGCTGGCCTCATTGGCCGTGTGCTCCGCCTGGCTCCCGTTAGCTGTCTCCCCGGCCTCGGCGCTGGGGGGGCGCCGGCTCCCTGCTCCGCCGTCTGCAGACAAACGTATCAGGACTGATGAATGAGACTCGGGGGAGGGGTGTAGAATAGCCCCATGGGGAGGGACAATGAGGGCACACCAGGGATAATGGAATGGGATCTCAGAGGGGTGTGGGAGGGGCAGTTGGGGGTCAGGGCAGGAGGCTTCAGACTTACTTGATCACACAGAGCCCGAGAAGGAAGGATCCAATGGCGACCCCCAGCCCACAGGCCATCCCGATGAACACCGGCTTGTCAGGATCCTCCGAACCTGGAAAAACACAGAACATGGATGGAAGAGAGCCCATGAATCCTGGCTCGCAGCCCCCAACTCACATCCCAGAGCTGGGGATAGAATCTAGAATTCCTGGATCCCAGCCCGAGCCCTCAACTCCCCACCCCAACTCCACTCCCTGAGCTGGTTACAGAATCCAGGAGACAAATGTCTCACCTCTGTGCAGGGGGCTGAGTTCAAAGTGCAGGGTGACATAGCTCCCGTGGGGGTTGGAGCCGAGGCAGAAGATCGAGAGCCCCCTGTCCCCACTCCCAGTCCAGATCAGGGCAGAATCATAGAATCATAGAATATCAGAGTTGGAAGGGACCTTAGGAGGTATTTAGTCCAACCCCCTGCTCAAAGCAGGACCAATCCCCCAACTAAATCATCCCAGCCAGGGCTTTGTCAAGCCTGACCTTAAAAACCTCTAAGGAAGGAGATTCCACCATCTCCCTAGGGAACCCATTCCAGTGCTTCACCACCCTCCTAGTGAAAAAGTTTTTCCTTATATCCAACCTAAACCTCCCCCACTGCAACTTGAGACCATTACTCCTTGTTCTGTCATCTGGTATCACTGAGAAAAGCCTAGATCCATCCTCTTTAGCACCGCCTTTCAGGTAGTTGAAAGCAGCTATCAAATCCCCGCTCATTCTTCTCTTCTGCAGACTAAATAATCCCAGTTCCCTCAGCCTCTCCTCATAAGTCATGTGCTCCAGCCCCCTAATCATTTTTGTTGCCCTCCCCTGGGCTCTTTCCAATGTTTCCACATCCTTCTTGTAGTGTGGGACCCAAAACTGGACACAGTACTCCAGATGAGGCCTCACCAATGTCGAATAGAGGGGAACGATCGCGTTCCTCGATCTGCTGGCAATGCCGCTACTTATACAGCCCAAAATGCCGTTAGCCTTCTTGGCAACAAGGGCACACTTTCGACTCATATCTAGCTTCTCCTCCACTTTAACCACTAGGTCTTTTTCTGCAGAACTGCTCCCTAGCCACTTGGTCCCTAGTCTGTAGCAGTGCATGGGACTCTTCTGTCCTAAGTGCAGTATTCTGCACTTGTCCTTGTTGAAAATCATCAGATTTCTTTTGGCCCAAGCCTCTAATATTTCTAGGTCCTTCCGTATACTATCCCTACCCTCCAGCGTATCTACCACTCCTCCCAGTTTAGTGTCATCTAAAAACTTGCTGAGAGTGCAGTCCACGCCATCCTCCAGATCATTAATGAAGATATTGAACAAAGCCGACCCCAGGACCGACCCTTGGGGCACTCCGCTTGAAACCGGCTGACAACTACACATGGAGCCATTGATCACTACCCGTTGAGCCCGACGATCTAGCCAGCTTTCTATCAACCTTACAGTCCATTCATCCAGCCCATACTTCTTTAACTTTGCGGCAAGAATACTGTGGGAGACTGTATCAAAAGCTTTATTAAACTCAAGGAATAACAGATCCACTGCTTTCCCCTCATCCACAGAGCCAGTTGTATCATCACAGAAGGCAATTAGGTTAGTCAGGCATGACTTGCCCTTAGTGAATCCATGCTGAGTGTTCCTGATCACTTTCCTCTCCTCTAAATGCTTCAGAATTGATTCCTTGAGGACCTGCTCCATGATTTTTCCAGGGACTGAGGTGAGGCTGACTGGCCTGTATTTCCCCGGATCTTCCTTCTTCCCTTTTTTAAAGATGGGCGCTACATTAGCCTTTTTCCAGTCATCTGGGACCTCCCCCGATCGCCATGAGTTTTCAAAGATAATGGCTAATGGCTCTGCAATCTCACGCGCCAACTCCTTTAGCATCCTCGGATGCAGCGCATCCGGCCCCATGGACTTGTGCTCATCCAGCTTTTCTAAATAGCACCGAACCACTTCTTTCTCCACAGAGGGCTGGTCACCTCCTCCCCATACTGTGCTACGCAGTGCAGCTGTCTGGGAGCTGACCTTGTTCGTGAAGAGAGAGGCAAAAAAAGCATTGAGTACATTAGCTTTTTCTACATCCTCTGACACTAGGTTGCCTCCCTCATTCAGTAAGGGGCCCACACTTTCCTTGACTTTCTCCTTGTTGCTAACATACCCGAAGAAACCCTTCTTGTTACTCTTAACAGCTCTTGTACCTGCAACTCCAGGGGTGATTTGCTTTTCCTGATTTCACTCCTGCATGCCTGAGCAATATCTTTATACTCCTCCCAGGTCATTTGTCCAATCTTTCGCTTCTTGTAAGCTTTATTTTTTGTGTGTGTTTAAGGTCAGAAATGATTTCACTGTTAACCCAAGCTGGTCGCCTGCCATATTTACTATTCCTTCTACACACTGGGATGGTTTGTTCCTGCAACGTCAATAAGGATTCTTTAAAATACAGCCAGCTCTCCTGAACTCCTTTCCCCCTCATGTTATTCTCCCAGGGGATCCTGCCCATCAGTTCCCCAAGGGAGTCAAAGTCTGCTTTTCTGAAGACCAGGGTCCGTATTCTGCTGCTCTCCTTTCTTCCTTGTGTCAGGATCCTCAACTCGACCATCTCATGGTCACTGCCTCCCAGGTTCCCATTCACTTTTGTTTCCCCTACTAATTCTTCTTGGTTTGTGAGCAGCAGGTCTAGAAGAACTCTGCCCCTAGTTGGTTCCTCCAGCACTTGCACTAGGAAATTGTCGCCTACACTTTTCTGACAGTCTCGTTCCCCTGGGCCCACAAGCTGATGTGCAGGGCCCCGTGTGAGCAGTTCCCAGCCAGGGGCTCCCCGTCCACTTGCCACTGGAGCCAGGGAGGTTGGTTGGAGCGCAGGGAGCAGGTGCAGCTGATACTGGGCCCCTGGCACTGGCAGGACGAGTTCAGCCCGGTCCCTGGCTGGGGGCTGTCAGGGGACAGCAGGAGATATAGCGACAATAGTCAGAGAGAAAAATCCAGTGGCAGGGAGTCCATGGGTTAAACCCATTCACACTCGATGAGCAGCTGGAATGTCCCCTGGGGAGAGCTCTCGTTCTGGTCCCAGTGCCTGTACAGCCCCCTGTCCTCAACAGTCACGTTGGGCAGCTCCAGTCACAGCTGATTCTCCCCCATGGGGCGGGTGCCCCCAACGGCTCAGCTCCCCATCACCCAGCCCAGCTCCAATGTGGGGGCTGCTGGCGAGGGAGCAGAGGAACTGCAGGGAGTCGCCCTCCCCGGCCATGAGCTGTGAACCATTGGTCACCAGTGTGCCCGGATCTGGTAAGAGAAATAACAGGAAGCCACTCGCACTCTGAACCAACCAGTCCCTGCCCAGGGGCCGGATCAGGGACAGTGACAATAGAGGGGAAAGTCCCCGTGTCCCACTCCTCAACCTTAGCAATACATTGGAATAGCTGGGTATCATTCCTGTTAGCTCTGGAGACGGTGATTTGCAGAGTCCTCACTGGAGCTGAAATACCCACGGCAACATGTTAGATTGGAGAGCTGCCCCCACTGGTCCCCTGCGACACTGCCTGCAGCATGGCGTCCCCTAGCACCATACACTGCATCTGGACACACAGGGCCTGACTGGCCGATCCATAGGAATTCTGCGCCCAGCACCGATACTCCCCAGCATCCCCTCTGCTGAGATTCAGCAACTCCAGGCACCCGTCCCATCCCTGGCTGGAGCTCAGCGACTCCTTCCCCTTGGCCCAGCTCAGGTAGGTGTCAGCTCTGCTCCCAGCGTCACAGCTCAGACTCAAGGAGTCGCCTTCCTGGGTCTCCAGAGACACAATGTCACGCTCAGCTCCCAATGGGGCTGGCACTGGAGGAGACGAGCTGGCAGGTTAGGCCCCCCAGAGATTCTCTGACAAGAAACCGAGATTCAACCACCTCTGGGGTGGGAAACGGGGGCTGTTTGCACAAGGAGCGCTCGCCCAGTTTGGAGACGTAGCCAGCTCTGGGGTCGGAGCATAATCTTGCTGACTTTCCATGGCAGCAGGTCTCTATTGCAGAGTTCGGTCCCTGACCTATCTCCTCCCCATTGCCTAGCGCCCCCTTAATCCCACCCCTAGGTCTGGAGACAGAAATAACTGGGTCCGCTTCCCCCACCACCCTCCCAACATTCCTGTGGCTTCCTCCGGCTTCCCAGCTCAGCATGGTGCCTGGCCCTGAGTGCTGACAGAGCGTGACTAGGAGGTGCTCGCTGAATCCTGGGGCTTGCAGCATGGCCTCTCACTGGAGTGCCGCCCCATGGGCTGGAGACAGAGGGAATCAGGCCCAAACCTCCCACCATCCTCCCTACAGCCCTGAGGCTTCCTTGGGTTTCCTTGAGCTCTCCTCTCCGGGCATAGACTAGTCTGGCCATGGGCGACATATGAACTGCCAGCTCAGAGAGGCTAGCCCTGGCCCCACCCCTTCCACCAGAGGCCACATCCCCACTGGAGTCGGGAGCTCCCCACCGTGGCCTCTGGCCCCCCTGAGGCAGCCCTGGGCCACCAGAGAACCCTGGCCCAAGAGCACTGACCCCCTCTAACCCTCGCCCCAGCCACAGCGTTGCCAAGGGGGAATAGCATGGGCAGTGAGCAAGAAAGAACCTGCTCCCCTGCCCCTGAACTAGTGCCCCCGCCCCGGGTGAGCCAGGAGTGGCCAGAGGGGTCCAGGGGGCCATGGGCTCTGGCGAGATGCAGCCCATGTGTGACAGCGCGAAGCCTTGAGCCAGATGCCGAGCATCAGGCACCACAAGCCGCAGTAGCAGCTCAGGAGGGTGGCAATACCCCATGTGCCAAGTCCCCTGACTACTGCGCTGCTGCTGGAGGTGGCGTTACCTTCAGAGCTGGGTGCCCGGCCATCACCTGCCAGTATCAGGCTGCCCTGCCAGGGCTTAATTTAAGCTACAGCTGAGCTCTGGCATCTCTTTCAAAACAAATTAAACACCTTGGGAGGCAACGGGGCCCATTGGCCTCACCCGGGGTGGCAGTTCCCCCAGATGAGGTCTCATTCTTTGTTTCCTCAGTCCCTTGAGTTTCTAATTCCTTGTCGGCTCTTCGGTGGCTGAGGAACAGCCCAATCTACATGCCAAACTCGGGCATTTCCTGACCCCCGGTCTGTCCTTCCTTCTGCTTCCAAGAGAGAGAGAGAGAGAGAGAGACAGACATGTCCTGTGAGAGAAAGTGAAAGAGATTCCGGGGTATGTAAGTGGCTGGCAGTTGGGATAGATAGATAGATAGATACATGGATGGATGATGGGTGGTTGTATGGGAATTAATAGATGCACAGACGGCTGGGTAGGTACATAGTTGGGTGGGTGGGTGGTTAGAAGGTATATAGGAGGGTAGATTGGTGGGTAGATATATGGGTAGGGGGGTAGATGGGTGCGTAGGAACATTGTGGGTGGGTTGGTGGCTGAATTACCCTCTGTAATAGAGCAGGGTGAGGTAATAGTCCAGGAAGAATCCGGTCGCCATGAAGACGAGTTTGAAGCTGATTTCGATAAATGCCCGAGTGAGGCCACATGATGGAGGTAAAAGAAGTCAAGAGTCTAGGATAGATCCCTGCAAACCCTGCCCCGAGCCAACCAGCCTCCCCGTCCCCACTCCTCTTCCAGCTCAGGGTGCTGATGGCCTCATGCCCCTGGGCCCAGGAGCTGACCTGCAGGGTCCCCCATGAGCCCTTCACAGCCAGGGGCTCCCCGTCCACTTGCCACTGGAGCTGGGGTGGGGGGTGGGAGCACAGGGAGCAGCTGCAGCTGATGCTGGGCCCCTGGCGCTGGCAGGACGAGTTCAGCCTGGTCCCCGGCCGGGGGCTGTCTGGGGAGCACAGGAGACACAGCAACAAATTAATAGTCAGAGAGAGAAACCCTGGGGCAGGGAGTTTCCCGGATTAATCCCACTCACACCCGTGACAGGGAGTTCCGTGGGTTAACCTCACTAACACTCAATGAGCAGCTGGAACGTCCCCTGGGCAGAGCTCTCCTCTCTCTGAGCCCAGCACACGTACAGCCGCCCGTCCTGGGCCATCACTTGGGCAGCTCCAGTCACAGCTGATTCTCCCGCGCAGGGAGGGCACTCTCGAAGGCTCAGGCCCCCCCTCATCCAGCTCATGACGGAGCAGAGGAACCGAAGAGAATCACCGTCCCAGGCCATGAGCTCTGTGCCTCTCCCCAATCTCCCCAGCACAGTGCCCCCCACTAACTCTCCACCCCCCTAACAGCAGCACAGCATGCCCCACTGATGCCCTGCCCTGCTCCGTTTGGCACAGCGCCCCCTAGCGCCTTAACTGCACGTGCCCATGCAGGGCCGGGCTGGCCGACTCATAGGAATTCTTTGCCCAGCATCGTTACTCCCCAGCGTCCCCTCTGCTGAGATTTGGCAGCTCCAGGAGCCCGGCCCCTCCCTGGCCCTCAGCCAGTGTGGAGACGTAGCCAGCTCTGGGGTTGGAGCACAATCTTGGTGACTTTCCATGGCAGCAGGTCTCTGTGGCAGAGATCGGTCCCTGACCCATCTCATCCCCACTGCCCAGAGCCCCCTTAATGCCACACCAGGGACTGGAGACTGAGGGAAACGGGCCTACTCCCCTCACCACGCCCCCTACAGTCCTATGGCATCCCTCGGGCTCTCCCCTCTGGGCATGGCCCAGTCCGGCCCAGCTGAGCCTGGTGCCTGGCCCTGAGCGCGGGCAGAGCATGACTAGGAGGTGCTCGGTTATTCCCGGGGCTCACAGCGCGGCCTCTCACCGGGGCGTCCGTTACTGGTCAGGTTCCCGGTGATGTTGGGGAGCCCGGTCGGGTCTGTAACACAAACCAGACAGGGGGGATCAGGGGGGGCTGGACAGCACCGGTGGCTATACAGGCACCCCTCACCCAGCATGGGGACGTAGCCAGCTCTTAGGTGGGTGCACAATCTCGGTACCTTTCCATGGCCGCAGGTCTCTGTCGCACAGATCGGGTCCCTAACCCATCTCCTCCCCACTGCCCAGCGCCCCCTAGTGCCGCCCCGCGGGCTGGAGACAGAGGGAACCAGGCCGAACCTCCCACCATCCTCCCTACAGCCCTGAGGCTTCCTTGGGCTCTCCCCTCCTGGCATAGACTAGTCTGGCCATGGGCGACATATGAACTGCCAGCACAGAGAGGCTAGCCTCTGGCCCCACCCCTTCTGCCAGAGGCCACACCCCCACTGGAGTCGGGAGCCCCCCACCGTGGCCTCTGGCCCCCCCCGAGCCAGCCCTCGGCCACCAGAGCACCCCGGTCCCAGAGTAGTGCGCGGGAGGGAGGCGTGGAACTAGCCTCCTGGAGTCCCAGGCCACAGGCCGGCCCCCTCTAACCTTTACCCTAGCTGGGGGGCAGAGTATGGGTGGGGCTACGTAGGGCTGTTTGGGGCAGCTCAGCCTCCACTGGCCTGTGATATGCACCACCCATGAGCCTGGCCCGGCTGAGCCTGGTGCCTGGCCCTGAGCGCGGGCAGAGCGTGACTAGGAGGCGCTCGGTTATTCCCGGGGCTCGCAGCGCGGCCTCTCACCGGGGCGTCCGTTCCTGGTCAGGGTCCCAGTGATGTTGGGGGGCCCAGTCGGGTCTGTAACACAAACCAGACAGGGGGCATGAGGGGGACTGGACAGCACCGGGGGGGAGGGTGTCGCTAGTGATCACTGAGCCTAGACATGGCCCCTCGCTGTGAGCTCAGCTGGGGGACGGGAAAGTTCCTGAAGTGACACAAGACCCGTGGGCAGGGAAGGGAAGCGACAGACCCGACTGAGGCTGAACTAAGAGGCGCCCGACGGAACCCAGAGGCCAGGTTAGGGCTGCGCCGGGGAACCAGAACCGTGGGAAATGGAAACCTAAGGGACCAAAACTGGTTGGTCAAAATTGGGCCTAATTGGCAGAGTCACTAACGAGGAGCCAGACTGCTTCAGCCTGGGTACTTGAGCGAGCGTCACCAGCACCACCATCTGCCGGGCACCTGGGCATTCAGCATCCTGCTCCCCAAATGTGTTCTCCCCAGGGCGGGACAGAGTCAGGGGTCTACGTAACCCCATTCCCACCCCCACCCCAGACCCAGCCACCACCAGGGACATCAGACATGTCCCTCATGGGTCCTTTCCTTTCCCCCCTTGGTTTGTCTCGCTGCAGCCCTCTCCTTTCACCCTCTGGCTTAGCTGGTCAGGACAGGATGTTTTGAAGTGTGGCTACGCCCAGAGGGGCGGCTAAAAGTAACACACAGAACAGTCGGACGCTGGTACTGGCTGGCCAGGCCTGGCAGGGTGCGTCCACACTGCCCTCAAAGCCCCTCGGCGCCGAGCCTCAGAGCCTGGGTCCGTTGGGTCGGGCTCGGGGACTCGGGCTGCGGGTCTTTGATTGCAGCGCGGACGTTTCCTCCGAGGTCTGTGTAGACGTTGGGGGTTGGGCTGGGGCCTGGGCTCAGCCACGGGCGGGGGACTGCGGAATGGGTTCCTTCTAAATCTCGCTCCGGCTGAAGAGAACAAGGGCCGTCCTTACACTGATGCCTGATTTGATCCTTCACCTCGCAAAGGCGGCCGCTGACTTCCCCTCTGGCCTGGATCTGCAGCGCGAGGGTCACAGGCCATTTAATGGGGGTTTGCCCTGGGGCAGGGCAGGCCGAGGTCTCTGGGCACCGAGCCCTGAGTGTGTGTAGTACCGGACAGTGACTGGGTCCCATTAACACTCTGCCCCATATAGAGCATCCACCGATCCCGGCAGAAAGGGGAGGGGGTGGAGGAGACGCGGTGGGACAGCCTGGTGGGATCTCAGGGAGAACTGGGGTGGCTGTTGTGAGGGGAAATCCCAACAAGGGGAGATTGCAAAGGGGTGTGTGTGGATCACAGCACAGATGGATTATGGAGGCAGGGCAGGTCGGGGGTATAGAGGGAAGCCATAACCAATGGGGACAAGAAGGTGTGAAGATCCAAAGGGAGAAGGGCTCCAAGGTGTGGAGGGAATTGGCGTGGAGTAGAATTGGCTGAGGGCGGGTATCCCAGCACAGGTCTCAGTTCGGGGAGGGGCTGGAGAGCAGGGCTGGGGAGCCCAGGGGTGAGGATCCCAGCATAGGGAGTTTGGGGCTGGCGTTTAGGGTCTGGGTGGGTCACTCACAGCCTACGTGGAGCTGGATGGTTCTGCTGGTGGAAGGTCCCTGTGCTGAGCTGTAGGTGACGGTGCAGACGAGCTCTTTGCCATCGTCTCCCAGGCCAGGTGTGAAGCTGAGCTCGGAGCTGTGGGCCCAGGTGCCGTTCGCCAGCTGGGCTGAGACATTCCGAGCTGTGTCATTGAATGGCCCCGTCCAGGTGACTTGCGGGGGGGACCCGGAGCAGCGCCCAGGGGCTGTGCAGGTCACAGTCACCGGCTCCCTGGTCAGCAACATCCCTGGCAGCCCCCGCGCCGGCGAGATCTGGATCTCTGGCTCCTCCGTCAACTCTGAGACATGGGGGGAGGGGAGAGAATCACTCGGGGACATGGGGCATTTGCCCTTTAGGGTCGCTGGGTCCGATCCGGTCACAGGACGGGGACGGGCTGGCTCAGGGGTGCTAATGAGGGTGTCATAAATATAGAGGTAAGAGTAACAACTTTCTGTATGTAGTAGCATAAAATCCCTCTTTGGCAGCTGTACTAAATCACCTTCCCTGTAAGGGATTAATCCGCTCAAATAACCCAGTTGGCACCTTACCAGAAGGACCAAGGAGGAAAGAAGATACTTTCAAATCTGTGGGGGTGGGGGAGGGTTTGATTGTTGCTGTCTCTTTGTTGTTCCCTCTCTGTACGGAGGGAGAGACCAAGCAGGTACAATATCTCCTGCAAATATACCTGTAATAATAGATCTAACCCCACAGAAATTGTAAGTAGGGAAGGAAAGGCGTTGGTTATCTTTTGTTTTAGCTTGTGAATTTTCCTATGCTACAGATGTAGTTTGATTCCTGTTTTTGTAAGTGTGAAGCTGAGCCAGAGGGGAATCCTCTGTGTTTTAATAAGAGTCTGCTCTGTGCTCACATTCCTAACCAATTGGTTGGTATATTATTCTCAAGCCACCGCAGGAAAGGGGTGAAGAGGCTTGGCAGGATATTTGGGGGATAGGGATTCCAAGTTAAAATGCCCTGAATTTTACTATAAATCATGTGGCAGCAATACCGTCCAAGGACAAGGGAAGGAATTTGTGCCTTGGGGAAGTTTTTAATCTAAGCTGGTTGAATATAAGCTTACGGGGTCTTTCATGCGGGTCCCCACATCTGTACCCCAGAGTTCAGAGTGGGGGGGGAACCCTCACAAGCAGTGACTGCGGCTGCTCTTACCTGTCACAGAGATCGTGAGCACAGGGTCAGTGCCACTGGAATTGAAGCGGTAAGTGTGATCTAACATGCCTTTGTCGATGTTAAGGAAATATCTCCCCGCATCCGTCCGTCGGGCATCACTGATTTGCAGGGAGCAGTCGCCGAGCGCTGGATCCCCCGTCAGCTGGAACCGGCCCTGGGTCTCCTGCGACACCCCCACGTTGGGGACACTGCTGGCCACAGGAGGATCCTGGCCCGCAGTAGCAGGCTCCTTGTACCATTGTCCGTACAGCTGGGCCGAGGGGTTGTCGGTGTCATACGAGGCTGGGTATGTGAAGTTGCAGGGGATGAAAACACAGAGACCCTCCTGCATGGACACCAACTGTGGCACCGCCAGGGTAAATCCAGGTGGCTGGGACAGGGACCCTGCAGGGGATGGGGAGGGATGGAAGTGGGACCCATAGAGAGCAGAGACCAACCCTGAGCGGCACCCCCCAGCACTGCCGGTTCCCCTCACTCCTGACCTGCAGCCCCCTACAAGCCAAGCAGTGAGATCAACCCCCCCTCGAGGTCTATCAGTGCCCCTCACCCCCGACTGACAGCCCCATGTGATCCCAGCCCTAGGTCCTTGACCAATTCTCACTCCATTTAGTTTTCACTCCTCCCTACATGGAGCCTCCTGTCAGCTCCCTGTCGCTCAGTGCCCCCTAGCACCACACTGGGGCACTGGGCTCCCCTCCCCCTCTGGCCAGTCTCCCTTTCACATTCTAGGACAGACCTGACACTGCTTAATGCAGTTTCTGCCCTTCCCCTGCACTGGGGCTCCAGCAGCTGCATACTTACCCCTCCAGAGCAGGGCGAGGATCAGGACCGTCAGCATAGCAGGACCCCCTGCTCTCCAGAGGGGGCCCTGAGGCGGGAGCTCCCTTTCCCCGGCATCATGCTGTGGCAGAACGGCTCTGCCCATGGCTCTGGCGTCCGGCTGGGACAGACCTAGAGACAGAGAAGTGTGAGAGCAGAGGCTGTTTGGGGACGCAGATCTGCCTGGTGGACTGTCAGTACTGCTGGGCTCTGAAGGGGCTGATCTGGGGCTGCTGGCAGCGCAATGACCTCCCCCACACACAGAAACCCCCAAATCACCAGACTTTCCTGAGAGATCGTGGGCTAAAAAAATCCTTAAATTGGTGAAAAAAAATGAGATTTTCTCTGAGAATCATGAGATCGGCCAGAAAATCCTGATCTGGTGACAGAAGATGGTGGGAAGGCAGCGCTGCTCCGTGTCTGCTTTGCTTCAGTCTTCCCACAAAAAAACAACATGTGAGCAGGCAACCAGTGAAGTTACCACGGAGAACAAAGGGGAAGGGCTGCAAATCGGAATAAGTAAAGAACACGTCAGAGATGTTCCGACCAATTTGAATGAATTCAGATCAGTGGAGCGGGAAGCTGTTCAACCCAGGGTGCTGAAGGAATTAGTCGAAGAAATCTTGGAGCCACTGGCAATAATATTTGCAAACTCCTGGATGCCAGGAGAGGTCTCAGAAGACAGGAGAAGGACTAACAGAGTGGGCATCTTTAAAAAGGGAAAAGGGGGAGGTGGGGAACTATAGGCCAGTCAGCCTGACCTCGACAGATGGAAAGCTACTAGAGCAATGTATAAAACCTCCAGTTTTGTAAAGGGAAATCATGGCTCGCCAAACTACTAGAATTTTGGAGGGAGTCAACAGCATGTGAACAAGGGTGACCTAGTCCATTTACTTAGATTTTCAGAAAGCCTTTGACAAGTTTCCTCCCAAAAGGCTTTTAAGCAAGGTAAGGTGTCATGGGATAAGTAGGCAGGTCCTCTCCTGGATCAGTAATTGGTTAAAAGGGTAGGAATAAATGGCTAATTTTCAGAGTGGAGAGAGGTAAATAGTGATGTCCACCAGCGTTCTGTATGTGGACCAGTGCTGTTCAACATGTTCATAAATGATCTAGAAAAAGGGGTAAACAGTGAGGTGGAAAAATTTGCAGATGATACAAAACTACTCAAGAGAGTTAAGTTCAAAGCTGACTGCGATGAACTACAAAGGGATCTCGCAAACTGGGTCACTGGATAACAAAATGGCAGATGAAATTCAATGTTAATAAATGCAAAGTTATGCACAATGGGGAACATAATCCCAACAATACATATAAAGTGATGGGGTACAAATTTGCTGATACTGCTCAAGGAGGAGTTCTGAGAGTCACTACGGATAGTTCTCTGAAAACACCCACTCAATGTGCAGTGGCCATCAAAAATCATTAAGAAAGGGAGAGATAATAAGACAGAAAATATCATATTGCCTCTATATAAATCCATGGTCCACCCACATCTTGAATACTGCGTGCAGTTCTGGTGGCCCTATCGCAAACTGGAATTGGAAAAGGCTCAGAAAAGCGCAAGAAAAACGATTATGGGTGTGGAACAGCTTTCCTAAAAGGAGAGATTAATAAAACTAGGTCTGTTCAGCTGGAAAAGAGATGACTAAGGGGGGCTGTGATAGAGGTCTATAAAATGGGCGACAGGTGATGGATCACTTGTTGATTATCTGTTCTGTTCATTCGCTCTGGGGCACCTGGCACTGGCCACTGTCGGCAGACAGGATACTGAGCTAGATTATCCTTTGGTCTCACCTAATATGGCCGTTTTTATGGAGAAATGTGGGCTTGGTGGAACTACTATTAAGTGGATACAGAACTGGTAAAACAACCACAGACAAGAAGTAACTGTTAATGGAATGACGTGGGATTGGAGGGAGGTCCCAAGTGGGGCTCCACGGGGATGTGTTCTGGGTCCTGTGTTGTTTAACATCTTTATCAATGACCTGGATGTAGGACTAGGGAGCAGACTGATCAAATCTGCAGATGACACAAAGCTAGTGGGGGTTGCCAACACTTTGGAAGATGGAGCTAAAATTAAGAGGAATATTGATAATTGGAGAATTGGGCTGTATAAAATAGGACACAGTGAAATTCATGAAGGACGAATGGAAGGTGCTCCATTTAGGGATGAAAACCCAAATGCACAAATACAGGATGGGGAAGAACTGGCTTGGCTGCAGCACTGCTGAAAAGGAGCTGAGAGTTGTGGAGGATCACAGCCATGACATGAGTCAGCAATGCGATGCTGTTCCAAAAAAGCAAATGCAATTTTAGGTTGCATGAACAGAGGCAGAGCATGCAAGTCACGGGAGGTGACAGTACCTCTCTATGCCTCAGCTGGAGGACTGTGTCCAGTTTTGGCCACCGATGTATAGAAAGGATGTAGAGAAACAGGAAAAGGTCCAGAGGCAAGGGATAAAGATGATGAAAGGGGTGGTATGGAAGCCCTAGGGGCACAGCCAGAAGGAACTTGGCATGGTTAGTTTGGAAAGGAGATTGGCGGGGTGGGAGGGGACATTATCGCGTTTTGCAAATACTGGAAAGGCTGCCATCAAGAAGATTGTTCTCTCTCACCCCACAGGGCAGGACAAGAGGCAACAGGTTCAAACTACAGTAGAGTCAATTGAGATTAAACCTCATA